TTTACGTTTTGCTCTCGGTAATTATGGATCGTTTGAATTAAAATTACAATGATTGTTAGGATTTCTTGTTTTCTATTTCAATTAAACTGTTTAACAATTTAAAAATTAACTGTTAGATGTACTGAATTTGAAATTCAAGCCAATAGCTAGCGTTCTAGTATATAGAAAAATTTGCAAAGAACAATCAAATTTTTTTAAAGAAAAAAAAATGCAAACCTTGAAAAGTGGGCAAATAAACTAAAGTCGTTAAAAGATTTCTGTTTGCAGAAAACAAAATTTCAAAGGCGCATTCGAACTACGAGACTTTGCCTACGAAGGCATTCGCGTTACCTCTACAATATGTTAGATATTAACGTCTTGCTTTTGATACTATGCGCCGAATTTTCAACTGATTCAAAAAATTTTGATATTGATAAAAATTCGATCTGATAATGCTTGCTAATCGTTATTGTAATTGAGCATCGAGGTATTTTTTAAACTGTTTTTTAAAACGAACTATTTTAGAAAATAGTATTAAATATTATTAGAGTGTAACGCACCTCACGCACCTCCGGTGCTTCGAAATTTGGAGAGCTCAAAAAAGCCACATATATTGAAAAAAAATATGCATTCTTTGAGTGTAATCTGACAGCACCCAATAACAGAGTTCGTAATTTCAATTTTTGCTAAGATTTTTTTGTTGAGTTGTTTCAATTGAAATATTGAAAAACCATTAAATTTTATGACACTTTTTGTATCTAAGTTCTTTGAAAAACTTTAAAAATACATCATAAACGTCGCATCTTGGAACCTACAAGCATTCGAGCAGCGAAGAATTTGGAAGCAAAACTTTCAATTCCAGAGAGTACTCTCACAGTACCCAACTACAGGAATTGCAAATTTTTAGAAAATTTTCAAATTTAATTTTCGAAAAATGAAAATTATAAGAACGTCGCATCTCTAAAACTACAAAGACTTGAGCAGCCATAAGTGGAGGTGAGATTTGCAACCACCTTGAGTGATCTGACCAGCCCTAAATGAAGGATTAGGAATTTCAAACAATTAACTTTAAATTCCTGAAATTTTTTTTGAAAAAACGCAAAAAATATCTTATCTGGAAATCTACTAAGAATTGAGCAGTCATAATTAGAGGCAAGATTAACAGCCACTGAAAACACTCTGACAGCACCCCACTACAAGGAAGGGTATTTCAATTTTCAATTGAAAAAAAAGAATTTAACTTAAAATCTGAAAAAAAGTCATATTTGGGAAACTAAAAAGAGTTTTTGCATTTAGAAGCAAGATTTGGATCGTGAAACTAAATTCTGAGAGCACCCTCACAGTACCGAACTACATGATTAGGAATTACAAAACTTCTGAATTTTTTAAAATCTGTGTTTTCTGAAAAATAAAAAGAGAAATCATAAAACACGTTATATCTCGAAAACTACAAGAATTTGAGCAGTCATGTTTTAAGGAATGAGTTGCAATCCCAGAAAGTACCCAGACAGCACCCAATTACAGGGTTGAGATTTTCAACGTTAGTGAGTATCTTGTACACTGAAAGGATTTGGGCATTCATATTTGGAGACCACCATTCGCAACCCCTGTAGGAACTCTGGATGCATCCCAATATTGTGTTGCTAACTTTTAACTCGGTGAACAAACACTACAGTCAAACTGAAAAATCAAAAAAATCTTCGGCATTGCAATAATATACGATATAGCATAAACACGCATATATACGTTATGCCCTTAACTTTTGCAAGAATCCTTTAAACATGGCAAGATACATATCACACGCGTTTATTTGACTAAGTATCAAGTTAAATTGGTCATGTATAAGCTGTCGAAATTTAACAGGAAAGTGAAGTTGAAAACCAATTCTGTGGGACTGTCTCTTTCCCATGGATGCCTAACATACTAAAACCTTGTAGTGATTTTTCTGCTAGGCTGGAAAAGCACAATGGGAAAAATCTGCCCAGTCTTTGTACGCCAAAATACAACTTTTAATTTCGCTGCTCTCTTTACTTTACATGACTTGTAGACTGCTGACGACAGAAAATCAGCCCAAAATGAACACGGAAGGGCACGCAGTGAAAAACAGACCTGCATAGATCTTTCGAAAATCTCAAAAAATCTGAGAAAAGCGAGCTCTCCTTCAACTAAAAGCTAAAACATAGCCAAATGACAGTTGGAAAATAGTAATGAACGTAAGAAAAATTTAAAAAAAAACCGACATGCTTTTTTTAAAAACCTTCAACTGTGAACTTCGAAGAAAAAAAAATAGCCTTAAAGCTCTTTGAATTTGTAGAACAATTTATGATGGACCTTTTTTGTTAAAATTATCCCAATTTGAGAAAACTGGATCAGTAGGCAAATCTTTTATTTCACTGGGAAATCTGATAATTAATTTCAATTTTCGAAATTAGAAGTCGATTACGTTTTTCGTAACCTTTACACTTTTGCTGTTCGATAGTAGAGTTTACCGTCCTTTTAAAATTGAGCGTGAACAAATTTTAAGCCTTTTTCCTGAAAAAAAAAAACAAAAAAGAATCAGCAAGACTACCTATATAAGAGCACTGTCTTAAAAAACTAACAGTGGAAAATTAAATTGAATCTTTTGATTTAAAAACAAGCCTATTCTGTTCATATCAATGCAAATGCATGAACCATGATTTATTTTATTAGAAATATAATTACAATGTTTAACCTTACTATTATAAATTAAGCGCCAAAAAATGCTACATTAAATTAATTTTTCAACGGTGCAGCGAACCCCCCTGAATTTCAAAGAGTCTTTCATGATGTCTTGGGAAAAAGATAGAATTGTAGTTTGGCGTCACTTTTTGTATCTAAGTTCTTTGAAAAACTTTAAAAATACATCATAAACGTCGCATCTTGGAACCTACAAGGATTCGAGCAGCGAAGAATTTGGAAGCAAAACTTTCAATTCCAGAGAGTACTCTCACAGTACCCAACTACAGGAATTGCAAATTTTTAGAAAATTTTCAAATTTAATTTTCGAAAAATGAAAATTATAAGAACGTCGCATCTCTAAAACTACAAAGACTTGAGCAGCCATAAGTGGAGGTGAGATTTGCAACCACCTTGAGTGATCTGACCAGCCCTAAATGAAGGATTAGGAATTTCAAACAATTAACTTTAAATTCCTGAAATTTTTTTTGAAAAAACGCAAAAAATATCTTATCTGGAAATCTACTAAGAATTGAGCAGTCATAATTAGAGGCAAGATTAACAGCCACTGAAAACACTCTGACAGCACCCCACTACAAGGAAGGGTATTTCAATTTTCAATTGAAAAAAAAGAATTTAACTTAAAATCTGAAAAAAAGTCATATTTGGGAAACTAAAAAGAGTTTTTGCATTTAGAAGCAAGATTTGGATCGTGAAACTAAATTCTGAGAGCACCCTCACAGTACCGAACTACATGATTAGGAATTACAAAACTTCTGAATTTTTTAAAATCTGTGTTTTCTGAAAAATAAAAAGAGAAATCATAAAACACGTTATATCTCGAAAACTACAAGAATTTGAGCAGTCATGTTTTAAGGAATGAGTTGCAATCCCAGAAAGTACCCAGACAGCACCCAATTACAGGGTTGAGATTTTCAACGTTAGTGAGTATCTTGTACACTGAAAGGATTTGGGCATTCATATTTGGAGACCACCATTCGCAACCCCTGTAGGAACTCTGGATGCATCCCAATATTGTGTTGCTAACTTTTAACTCGGTGAACAAACACTACAGTCAAACTGAAAAATCAAAAAAATCTTCGGCATTGCAATAATATACGATATAGCATAAACACGCATATATACGTTATGCCCTTAACTTTTGCAAGAATCCTTTAAACATGGCAAGATACATATCACACGCGTTTATTTGACTAAGTATCAAGTTAAATTGGTCATGTATAAGCTGTCGAAATTTAACAGGAAAGTGAAGTTGAAAACCAATTCTGTGGGACTGTCTCTTTCCCATGGATGCCTAACATACTAAAACCTTGTAGTGATTTTTCTGCTAGGCTGGAAAAGCACAATGGGAAAAATCTGCCCAGTCTTTGTACGCCAAAATACAACTTTTAATTTCGCTGCTCTCTTTACTTTACATGACTTGTAGACTGCTGACGACAGAAAATCAGCCCAAAATGAACACGGAAGGGCACGCAGTGAAAAACAGACCTGCATAGATCTTTCGAAAATCTCAAAAAATCTGAGAAAAGCGAGCTCTCCTTCAACTAAAAGCTAAAACATAGCCAAATGACAGTTGGAAAATAGTAATGAACGTAAGAAAAATTTAAAAAAAAACCGACATGCTTTTTTTAAAAACCTTCAACTGTGAACTTCGAAGAAAAAAAAATAGCCTTAAAGCTCTTTGAATTTGTAGAACAATTTATGATGGACCTTTTTTGTTAAAATTATCCCAATTTGAGAAAACTGGATCAGTAGGCAAATCTTTTATTTCACTGGGAAATCTGATAATTAATTTCAATTTTCGAAATTAGAAGTCGATTACGTTTTTCGTAACCTTTACACTTTTGCTGTTCGATAGTAGAGTTTACCGTCCTTTTAAAATTGAGCGTGAACAAATTTTAAGCCTTTTTCCTGAAAAAAAAAAACAAAAAAGAATCAGCAAGACTACCTATATAAGAGCACTGTCTTAAAAAACTAACAGTGGAAAATTAAATTGAATCTTTTGATTTAAAAACAAGCCTATTCTGTTCATATCAATGCAAATGCATGAACCATGATTTATTTTATTAGAAATATAATTACAATGTTTAACCTTACTATTATAAATTAAGCGCCAAAAAATGCTACATTAAATTAATTTTTCAACGGTGCAGCGAACCCCCCTGAATTTCAAAGAGTCTTTCATGATGTCTTGGGAAAAAGATAGAATTGTAGTTTGGCGGTAACTAGCCATCCTTGGCATCCTTGTCAATTCAATAGCTCTAAGTTTTATCAAGGACCAGAAAAATTTAACCTTTTAATGGTAAAATTAATTTCCAGCTGCTTTTGAGATGCCAAAGATTTGATCGCTTTTCCGCATTGATACTTGAATGGAGGGATTACAGTCGGTTCAATCAATTCACGACAACACATTTCAAGCAGTGCAATTGCAAAATGGGATTTCAGTCGAAAGATACTGATTGTACTCATACAACACTAAGCACAATCATATGGACTACAGGCGAAATGAATGAAACGACCGACGAATGAGAGGCGAAAACAACTAAGCTACATGTACTGCTACTTATTCCAGTCGATAAGCGCCATCCTAGTATGGGGGATAAAAACAAGTCATCAAATCAGTCAGATCACGTCAAACTAAACCCACATTTTAAAATCTCGCACACTTTCTCGCTTGAGTTTATTCTACTTCTGCACTTTTTATGAGCTAGATTTGTTTGTCTCAATTCACTGCTATCCACAGTTAGATGTAATCCAGCTATAGCCTGGTTCCTGATGTTGAATGGTGGGAGCTAGGAGTGGAGCTATTGCTAGTGCTTGCATGATGACTGTTCTTCGCCATCAGGGGCGAGCTATTGTCTAGGTTGCTGTGGAAGTATTCTGCTGCCGAGGAGCCAACCGAAATCTTGCCCCCTCCCGAGGAGAGGTTCGAATTGTTCCTCAGAATCATAGGCGTGTTCTGTGAGGCGCTACTCATCATCGAGTTATTACAAGAGCTACCTCCATCTTGGAAACTAGAGGTTGAAGAGGTCGAGCTTCTCTGACTCAGTTGCAGCAGGGTTCCCTGCTGTCCCCGGGAGTCTATGCTCTGCTTGATGCTGGTCGTCCGAGGTATAGGCGGCGGTGGAGTGCCATCGTTGTCTATTGACATCTCAGAGAATCTGGTGTCGAACACTCTGGAACTCCGTTGACTGTAGCTGCTACCACTGGATATCGGTGTATCTGGAAGGTGGTCTGACACAGGGGTGTGAATTCCAGAGCTCTCGAATCCAGAGTGGTTAAATTGGGGTGTTCCTTGGAAATTACTGTGAGGCGCCATTGCCCTTTCGTATTCTGCCTGAAAGTCTTTCAGTTTCTGGGCATGATCACGTCTCTTTTCAGCCTCGCGCATTTTCTTCTCTTCGGCAAACTTCTTTCGTCCTTCGTCGATCTAAAATCAGAAACCAGTAAATAACTCGCAATTAGATTAAATTTTATTACATTTTAAGTAAAGCAATCATATTAAATTGATGGAAATGACAACTGTTAAATTCAAATATAGTATTTAACTAACATCATGTTCCAATGGTTGTCAACTAATCAAAACATTCTTATTTCAAATCAAAACTTATTGCAGTCAAAACTTTCGAAAGAAAAAGAAAACAGATAACAATAATTATTCGGTTCTTCAAGTTTAAAGTTGAAAAACACTCAACAATTTTCGATCTAGCAAGTTTTCTAATGTGTAGAAAAAGATTCGACTGATCAAGATCGCGCGTTGAATAAGCGCCACCAATCTTGATCGTAGACTTGGCTTACATTTTTCTGCACATTCTTGAAGCGTGTCTCGATCTTCTTCTCCAGCTCCTGGCGTTCCTTGTTTCGCTGCTGTTCTGTCTGAAAGCGGACCTGCTTCTGGTAGTTGATCAGGGTCTCCATATCCCTCTGCAGTCTCTGCTTCAACTCCTCCTCCTCCTGCTGATGTTGTCTCTTCAGATTAGTCTACGGCACAAACAACCCTCGAAAAAGACATCAAGGTGGATTCAAGGGGGGCAGACTTCCCCTCTTCTTTGAGATTTGACCCTTACATCCATTTTCCGCCGGCCGTACTTAAAAGGGTACTAAGGCTCTAAAATGGACTAAATTTGAGAGCAGAGGGGTATCGATCTGAAAAATTCAATTTTTGGTAAAAACTTCAGAAAGTCCCTCTAACTCAAATTTTGGATTTTTTAAATTTATTGGTGTGCAGAAAAATTTGGCAAACAATGTGGCCTTTATACTGTTTTAGAACAGCTCAGAAAATTATTTTCGACCTGAAGAAGTTCAAAAACAGTTGTAAAAGCGCCAAAAAACTAAGGAAACTGAAAAAATTATTTGACTGAAAAATGATTTAATTTTTTCATTAACTAACCCAGATTAAGAAACTGGTCAATACAGACTTTTTTACTCTACTGTGAAACCTAAAAACTAGACTCACTTTCACAACAAAGCTACTCCTGTTCTTTGTGCCATTTAGAGTTTTTGTCATCAAAGATCGTGATTTGCCTTTTAGCAAATGAAGTTGTTATGAACTTAAAAAGAAATCAAATTCAAACAGCTGAAAATCAGAATTGAGAGTGATCAAGTCAAGTCTTTAACAAACAAAAGTTACTACTATCAGAGATAAGTCGCGAGCCGGCAATTACGCTCAAGAAGCAAAGAGGACTTTGAACGACGCTAATATTGAAAAAGGAACTAGAAAAACGAAGTTTTATTAAAAAAAAGTTGCCAGATGGGCTGAGACATATAAAAAGCTTGGTGCCAGAGACTTATCGATCTCAAAAAAAACACTAGAAATTTTAGGATACAAATATTAAGGAAATAAGCCGACAGAATTGAAGCCAGCAATCAATATGCTGAAATTCAATCAATAATATCGGCAAAACAGTAAAAAAAAAACAGCATGTATCGCTCACATAGGATCGAGAAGTGCAATTCATGTAGTCAGGTGTGGATTTAGGGGGGGACGCCCCTTTCTTTCAGGGATTCGATCACATGCCGAGACTCAAAGGGTCCCCCCTTTGTACTATTTTGAGATATCCATTTTTGGCTGAAGGACCCAAAATTTTTTAAAGGCGCATTTGGCGCCAATATATACTAATTTTGAAGGGAGAGCGAGCGCCAAAAAACGCGATTTTTTGGTCAACATTTTCAAAAAAATGCCTACAAACGCTTTTTTGGCCTTCTTTTCTTCAAAATTTTGCATGCGACGTAGAAAATTAGGCCAAAACAGGGTGTTTTTAGTGCTTTGGGAGAGCTCGAAAAATTAATTTGATCGACCTAAAAAAAAGATCGACAAAATTTTCGAATTTCTTTTGAAAATCCGCTCACTTTTCGAGAAAATCCTAGATCCGCACCTGCATGTAGTGCATGCCATGTGGTATACATAATTTGGGAACTAAACCGACAGAGCTCAAATCGACAACCATGAAGCCGAAAAAAGAGCGTTTACTATTTGCCAGCAGTAAAATTTGAATTTTCAAGAAATTGAGAATGTTAGCAGAACTACAAATGATTCAAGTGAATCCGTTAAACAAGCCCTGAAAAAGTCTATTCCGATTTGATAATGCTTGCATATCGCAAGCGTAAATAAAGAATTGTAATGACTATTCTGCTCATATTAATCATATTGATACTGGGGCAAGTTACGGAATGGTAATCTTCCTACTAATTAATCAATTGCAATATTTAGATGTATTTACGTCACAGGATTGGGTTATTTCGAGGGACCCGTCTATCATAGCAGTAGCAAACGAAAAAAGCCACCTAGCTAAGATAATTGTCTTGAATTAATTCTGGTAAAAACATGTTTTCAGATAAACAGAAACACACGCTAAACTTAAGGGAAAATCAAACGAAAGAGAACAGCACCAAAAAAAGAACTTAGGACACACCTCATTGGATTCCTTCATCCTCTCGATGCTCTCTCTGTATTGAATCTTGAGAATGTCCTGCTTGCTACTCAGTTCATGCTCCAGCTTCTTGGCCACATCTCTGTGGCTCTCTCGGGGTGCTTCCTCTATCCTCAGCTGCTTCAACTGCATGAATTGTTTGTTCTGAGTGTCCAGAGCACTGGCAAGCTGGTTCTGAATCTGCTTCTCTTTGTCTTTGATCAGTTTCGGTTGACTCCTACAAGCAAACATTCAGATTTAAATAATTTTCAAACCAGATAATTTTAGATATAACTTGGTTCAGGTATTATACGTTTACAAAATGGATCGACTTGAGACCAAGAAGGCGTCAATATCTCGCGTGGCATCTCCATTTTTGAGCAGTCCGTATATAATTTATTTCGGAAACTCATTTTGAACACCTAACAATCAATTATTACGAAGAACTGGACGAAAATCTAGATTTATCTTATGGTTTAAAGCATCATGAACCTCACTCCATCAATCTCGATTGAGAGGAAGTGCAACTGGCCACTTAATGCTATAAAAAGGCTCCCATTGTCAATCTGCGCATGCACAAGTTGCACTGAAGTAGTTTGAAATGGTTTGAGTGACAACTCACAGCCAGCTCAACATTTTCTTAAAACATTGCAAAAACATATCTGTCGGCTAGTTTCAAACCTGAAAACATTTTAAAATTTTGTGAGCCGATCCAGGAGCGAACCTAGGATGTATCGAAATGGGGCAGTGGGGGAGGAGGCCGGTTAATTTTCGAGATTTTTAGTTCAGCCAACATACTTTCTGAGCTTTCAGGGATTTCAAATTTAGACATAAAACCAACGTCAATGGAACATTTTAACCAAAATATTATCTTTTTCGGAGCGTGCTGCCAACTCAAACTCATTGCATGTTGGAGTCAAATGCGCCTTTGGAAAAATTTTAGGGCTAGTCGGCCACAAGTATGGACGCTTTGGGCAGTGTGGTTGTCAAATATCTGAAGCCCTTAATATCCGAGAGATATTTGACTACCCACGTCTGTATCGAGTCAGATTGTCGTATTACGAACTCTACCGCTGAAAGCCACAAACCCACTACAGCGCCCATCGCACTTGGAAGTATGTAACATGCAACAAAGTAACTCAAAACATTCAAAATCTAGAAAGAGTTAAAGCTTAAAATAGAAAAGAACAGAGAGACCATCCTACAGCCAGATGAAACGACCGCCAAAGATCAAGGGTGGACCAGTCGATGGTTACCTAATGAAATGAACCATGTGGTTTGGCTTGTTTCAAGAAGAGATTCACAACCAGTCGATCTAAGACGCCTGTTCAGACACTGAAAACAGAGTTCGCTTGGTACTGACAACTGATTTGGCTTGGTACTGTCAACTGTACAACGCCATTCTTCAGGAAATACGACGACAATATGAACCAGATATTATCATCGACTTCGTTAGCCGACTCCAGAACTTCAAGCAGCCATCAACTCATGACAGTGACTCGTATATGGAATTCTCGATCTTCATCAACATGGTTGAAACATTTCGATCGCTTGGGTTTAAAGACGACTTGAATTTAATTATTTACGTACAATTTGCCGTCAGCAAATTCAAAACCAGCAGCAGGTTCAGTTGACGCAAAAAAATGACCTAGAGCATCGATCAGCCTAATCTATCGCCTTTAACGAATGGATAAGACATTTCGCATTAGCATGCGATCATATAATATTCATGCAACCCCCAAAAGATAAACCAGTACACATGCCGCAAATGTAACCAGCTTCAACATTCATTACTGCACGACGATCAACAGCAGCGCCCGCAGATTTGCACCAGCCAGAAGCCCGATCAGACAAGCCACCCAGCCAGTCAAAAGCCGACGCTGACTCTCCAGCATCACAGATTCATCGACGACTACTGTTTTGTAGACAGTGGAAATACAAATAGCTACATACCACCAAATACAGCAATTTTTGAAACTACAGGAAACAAAACACAGCAGCCTGATCGTCATTGGAGGATTCTTCGACTCGTATACCATGGACGCCATAACTGTGGATCTCAGAATTCACACCTACGAAAACATTTCAACATTCGATCTTCGAAACAATTTTATAAAGCATGAAATCAACGTCAAGCTAACAAAGACAACCGACAGGAAAAACCTCTAAATAATGAAAATACTCTCCCTCCGGACGTCAGACCGCTCGACTTTACTTCATTTCAACATCTAGGACAAAATCAGGCCAAAATCTGTCAGCATCAATGATTTGATCGGAACAGCAAAGACAACTTCAACCGACATCTCCAGAGAGAGAGAGAGAGAGAGAGAGAGAGAGAGAGAGAGAGAGAGAAGGAGAGAGAGAGAGAGACCTCCAGCTTTGATTCAAAACTCAAAAATAAATCTTTTGGCAGAAGACACAGCACGAACGACTCTACAGCATCCAACCAGAAGAATAATAAAACCCAGCTTAACCTTGGACGACTTAGCAGCAACCCAAAACAAGGAATTCATTATTCAACAAACACCTCAATGAAGTAATGACAGCAATGACCATTGCCAGCAGAAAACGACCAGAATTTTGTCCAACGAAAATGACTCACATCAACGTCACTTCCCAACACTAACGGAAAACGACAAACTTTAACGCCCGCATCTGATCTCAGTGGAAATAGCACTATTGAGCCCAACAGAAGAACAAAAGAGCATCTGTAACCCCACAGAAAACAATGCCAATAGCAAAACGTAGCAAGAATTTTTACAAAAATCAAAACGGAGACAAAAGCACTCTTGAGAGAAATCGTTTTAGTAAACTTGGATATAAAAAATAACTCATGTTTACGGATTGAAATACATCAACGCATTTGGGAACGCCGCAGGAAACTCGAGACTTTAGGAGACATTGACTTTAGTAAACAATCACGAAGCACTCAAGGTACTAAAAACAAACAGAAGCCATCAGGGCAAAACGTCAGGACAAAATGCAAGCACCACACGTTCCAAAACCAATTGCACGTTTGAACTACAAACAAAACGATTAGACAAAAAAACTTCGACAGCAGCACGCAGAAATTTGGAAAACAGTCTCCTATAATTGTTGGAGAAAACGAATCTTTATGTGTCCGTAGACACGAAAGCAATTTCCAGCTATAACTAACAGCAGCAGCATCACAATTACCAACATAAACTCTTAGCAGGCCAGAAGACGCATCATTATCAACAAACATCAACTCTATGAAAACCACAACGAAATCCACACAGCCGACAAATCTCTGAGACAGCCATAGCCAATATCAGCAGAGCCATTTTTAAGCATCATGAGTTTCTAGGTTTAATGTTTAGGAAGCAACCAATCCCCCTTTTCATCTGTATTTTTTTTTGCAACTGCAGAATGACGCCGGCTGTAAAGTGCAATTGCAACAATTGACTAAAACCAAGCTCTTTGAATGCAAAATAGGAAAATCCGCCGAATTAATTGGAAACAGATGAACTCAAAAAGGAAAAGTAACTAAAACAAAAATAACTATCACGTGCAACCAAATAATTCGACACATTCAAATTCTAGAAAGAGTAACAGTCTACAGAAGCGAAGCTTCACTTCGCAAACATTAGCGAAAAAACGACAAAAAGCAGCTCTATGAAAAGCAACGTAGAATATAAGCCTCGAGCTAATAAAAAATCAGCTACGTCTCGGATGAGATCTGCGACCTAGAGATTATGAGTCTACCGCACTAGCCACTCAAACACGGACGCTTAATCAACCACAAACAATAGTCTTAAATAAAGCAGCGAACAGATGCTATGATATTTCCAATGCTACAAATCGTGATTATCGCATAAGTGCCACCGAATAAGTGAACACTTTTAATGAATAATTTTATTTGCGAATTAGGTAAGAAAAAAAGAAGGTTCGTACTAATACACTACGCTACTCGCTAGAAAAAAAACAGAGTGAACATTCTACTATGCAGAAAAGAACAGAGTGATCATTCTACACCGTTTGTTTTCTACAAAGTAACTGCGATGAAATTTTCGCAGATTTATTCTCGATCAGACCTGGTCTCCTCCTGGTGTTGCTTCTCGAGGTTCTTGAGGCTGAGGTGGTGGTGTCGCTTGTGATTGGTCAGTTCTATCTCGTGCTGCTCACTCATCAACTTGTATCTCAGGTCCTGCACTTGACGCTGGTGTTCCTTCTGCAGATTGGCCCACTGCTCGTGATGTCTGATGATCATCCGGTTAGTCAGATCCAACTCCACACTACGCCTCTGCATCTCCTAGAAAAATACCAAAACTCGGGTTGATCGTAGAACAGACGCCAAATTTGAAAAAATCGAGTGAACAACCCCTAAATCAACTCACGAAAAAGATTGTTCACTAGACAAAAATCTTTCTTTTGCAACAAATCGAAACTCAAGATTTTACATGTTGGCTTAATTGTTAATTTTGAAATCTAATTTTAAGGAATGATCGTTGACTTGGTTGAATGTAACATAAATTCTAATAGACCACCCAAATTCAACTCCTTTATTGAGCCTGTGAATGCTGGAACGTTGGACTTCGTGCATTAAGTTCAGAAGTTATAAAATAGGCTACAACTTTAACACAACACAAAAAACCTCATCACTCCGTAAAACTACTTAATCACTTTGTTTAACTTATCAGTATGGCTACAAATTGGTGACAACATCATCGTAGAAAGGGGGGTTGGGTCTATTAGCCGTACTCACTCCGTTGAGTACTTCGTTGTCCAGTTCTAGCTTCTCCATGAGCAGCTGCCTCTTGGTGTTCCAGATGCGCTCCGTCATCTGACAGGCCCAGATAGTCTCCGCTTCCTCTCTGCTCTTACTGGTCTCCGTCTCCAGACTGGCCAGCTCATGGGCCTGCAACTCCTTCTTCGCACCCAACAACTGTACCGCAAAATAAAAAAAGTCATCAAATCTTCCAAATTGGTTTTTTTTGAAATCCGCTCCTTCCCTAAAAAATCCCACGTCCACCCCAAATTATTTGGAAAAATTTGTAAAAGTGCTAATGAAGTAAAAAAAAAACAAAAAATGACTAATTTGGTTTGAAATTTTAACAAGCTTTCGAAATTTCCCACCAAATTTAACGTAAGAGCGCTTTCAACTGTTTTCAAACTTTGGTGACAAAACTAACCAAATAAGATTCACAACCCAAAATGACATCAAAGTCCATTAAAAGTCAGACCAGTTAACGTTATAAAACAAAACTTGGCCGGAACAGAATGTTCATGCCGCCACTGTTATCATTGCAGAAATATGAAATAAAAATCTGAAATATGGTGCTGATTTAAATTAACCGAAAACGCGGTTAACTTGAAATTTAAAAAGCGTTTTTCTCAAATTGGGTTGAGTTTAGGTGAAAACTTAAGAATACAAAATTTGCTTAAAATTTCAGCAGAATTAATGGTGTAATTTGTTTTGCGAAATTCGGGCCCCAAATTTTACCCCAAAAATTGGTCATTTTGGCTTTTCTTAGATAATCAAAAATTACGCCGAAAATACCCAGTCGATCACAAACATAATTATATCAAAGTGAGCCCCTTACCTAGCCCAACAAACTTTAAGAAGGGTATATTCTCCAAAAAAAATTTGCTAACCGTTTAAAAATTGTTTTAAAATAAAAAGTTGGTAGTTTATATAGTAAAAACGACCTTTTTTGTTTATCAAACAAAAATAAATTACCTTATACAATGTTTTGGAGAATATACCCTTCTTAGAGTTTGTTGGGCTAGGTAGGGCGCTCACTTTGATATAACTATGTTTGTGATCGACTGGGTATTTTCGGGGTAATTTTTGATTAACTAAGAAAAGCCAAAATGACCAATTTTTGGGGTAAAATTTTGAGCCCGAATTTCCCAAAACAAACTTCCCCATAATAATTCTGCTGAAATTTTAAGCAAGTTTTGTCTTCATAAGTTTTCACCTAAACTCGAAGCAATTTGAGAAAAACGCGTTTTAAATTTCAAGTTTAGCTCGATTTGTCCGGTTAATTTAAATCAGCACTGTAAAACAATAAAAGATTACTTAATTTTCTAAAACGCTTTACTTTGGACCCGCTGACCGTAACACTCTTCTGAAACATAACACTCCTCTGTTGATAAATTGTTAGAATAGAGGAACCGAAAATAAATAATTCATTGTCAAAATGAAGAGTTAATCCAATCTTTGCAACACTTGCCAGAAAAAATGAAGCGAAAATTTCAAACTCAGTTTTTCTCTAAGATAAATTTTTTCAAATATTTTTGGAATTAGAATCATGACTTTGAGGGCTCAAATATATTACGGTTACCAGAGTCAATCTCGTGCGTGCTCACCCTAGGCCATATTTGCTATCCAACTTTACAAAATCCGAGACATCAACAAAAAGATTACCTCTCCATACTGATCCATCTATACCGAGCATATCTGTGATAAACACTTAGTGGGGACACTACATTACGACGCCAAACTCGTATTTATAACAGATCAGAAAAGCGTTCTCGCTTCTAAATTGCACAGACACGTTGTCCTACAATTTAATGACATACAATTTAACACCGTACATTTCACATTTCAACACCTAGTCATTTCACTACTAAACAATTCAAATCGACAACAATTTAACTCCTATTTTCCAGTTTAACACAGTAAATTTTAACACCTAACCATTTCACTACTAAAATTAATGCTGTATGAACTCCTTATCTTAACTCTTATCACACCAAAGGTGATCCTGCAATTAACGCACGCACCATAAAGAAAAACTTGGTTTAATTTAGTTATATATGCCCAAAGGAGGCTTCCTAAATTACTTAAGATTCTTATCAACAAGTTCGTAATTTATTTTCAATAAGACTTTTCGCTAAACCAATATGATCACTGAAAAAAGCTTGTGCTAATTCATAACAATTTGACGTAAAATTTCTGACAAAAATTAAAATCTGACAGTCACTTTATACTTTACTCAAGTGATAAACAAACACAAACACATTAAACACATTATGATTGAGTCTTCTTTCGAATTCACAGTTTCATCTAAAAACAGCCAACTCTTATAGCGGCCGGCCACGAATTTTATTTCAAGCGAAAAAATAAGTTTACAGAAAACTGTATTTGCTGAAAATATCCAGCGAATGATTGTCGAGCAACTGCCATTACTGAAAATAACGAATTATTCGAGATAAGTGGAGAGCATAACCATGACACTTCAGCGGGAAAATCGGAGGCCCGAAATGTCATAAAGCATTTACAAGATCTCAGCTACAGATTTACCCAGACTGTTGCAGTTGCCAGTGCGGTTTTGTCAGTTACAAACGATTTGGCCACTCAGTTTGCCCTCCCAAGTAAGGACAAACTGATTCGAACGGCTGCGCGCACGCGTAAGCAGCTAGTAGTAAATATGCCGCCCATCCCGGTTGCGTGAAATTTCGAGATCACTGAATTTTTTGAAAATTTTATCCGGTATGACAGTGGATCAAATGATTTATGTCCCAACAGATCACGAGCGAATCATTTTGTGCGGCGACCCCGAAATGCTGAGAGTTCTGGAGAAGTCATCTTTCTGGTTAGCCGATGGAAGTTTTAAATTTACCCCAAAAAAGTTCTATCAGCTATATTCAATTCATGTTAGTATATCTGGCATTGCGCCAGCTTGCATTTACGCCTTCCTTCCTAACAAAACCGAAAAAACCTACAATCGCTTCTTGCAGGCGTTAATTGATTTAGCACCCAACTGCCGGCTTGAAAAGATTTTGTTAGATTTTGAGCAAGCTGATCTTCAGTCCTTCCAAAAAACCTTCCCCGAAGCACATTTATCGGGTTGTTTTTTCCATCTCTCCCAGAGTTACATGAGAAAAATTAATGAATTGGGTCTGAAAGTGACCGACGAAACGAATCACGATTTAGCGCTGGCTGTAAAAATGCTGCCATCCCTTGCATTCGAAAAAGAAAAGATCGGCGATTTTTATGACATGATCGTTCAGGAAATTCAGAATGTATGCGACAAAAATTGTATTAAATGAAAGTGTACAAAACATAATGTCCATTTACGAAATCAAAACTGATTTATGCTTTTTCAGAGCGTTGTCTAGTTTGTGTTAAACCATTGTAAATTTTGTCTCATTTTTGTTTATCTTTTCGTATTATTAAAATTCAAATTTTAATCCAACTTAAACTTTTGTCAGCTTAACTTAACGCAAGAACTTAACGCAAGAACTTGACTCCTACCTTAGCAATTTAATCCCAGGACAATCGCACTTATTTTCGGGATGCTACGTTCGGACTACGGGCTGGCAAACCCTTTAGCTTTGCGTTTCTGTCCCAACAGTTCAAAAAAAGCTGACAAAGCGATCAGGTCATAAGTTTAAGTTCGAGAACGATTCTAAAAAAAATATTGATTTTTAAGCTTTTGGCATTGTTTAAACCTTTTTCCAATTTCTATATCGGCTGAAATTGGGCCATATTAGTCAAAGGACGTCTAATTATTTGCGGGCTTTTGAGGTTCATTGAACTATTGCTTGTTTTTGGTTCATTTTGGAATGATTCATAGAAAATATTGGCAAGGTCAATTCATTTTGGTTTGAAACGATTCATTTATATCAATTGCAAGGTCATTTCTGTTCAAAACTTGAACAAATTAAGTAGCGCGTAATTGTCCGGCTTTAAATGGCAAAAATTTCTCGCGGAATTCTGCGGAACCCACAGACACAACTTTTACGCGGCAACGAGTAAATGCTTAGTTTGTTTTTCTCAAGTGGGAATTTACTATTAATGTTGTAGCCAGAATTCGGCGACAAACAATGCCGACACGAAATCCTGACCATTTGATTACTGTACGTGGATTCCAGTGAGGACAAATGTTTACACAGGCGATGTTGCACTTCGCATACACAAGCAAAGATATGACCGATAACGCTACTGGGAAATGAATGAGTTAAATTTTCAGCCCACAAAATGTCTGAAGTCACGCACGCCAATTATGAGTCGACATAATTGCTGAGTGACGCAAGCCAATTATGACGCATTAGCAGTACCAAAAACCTGAGAATGGTCAAAAAGAAGTCAAAGTATACACAGATGCGAGGAGCAGACAGACAATAAGTTGCAGACAGACAATAAAAAGGAGGCAGCAAAATCGAAAAAAGTCATTTCGAAGAAACCAGTCATTTCGAAAAAAAAATTACCAACTAACATGCCTCAATTTATAAAGCGCACGCATTTTAACTAGTATACGAAAAAGTTCATTACAAAAATCTACATCTGCCCAGTTTCGAACCCTCTCATTTTGTTGCTGGTCTCCGTCCCTACCTCTACGCTATAGATCCATGATACCTGGAAGCTTAAGTTCTATTTGTAATATAATAGTCTGTGTTAATATCCTTAGCTTTGGCTGTACTTAATAGCTGGTTATTGATCAAAATGAACACTTTCAAAAAGAACACATTTTGTCGCAACAATATTTGCGTCGCAACAATATTTACAACTTAGGTTGAAGAAAAGAGAGTTCATACTATCTCTATCCAAAAATTCCCCGATAGGAGCCGCATTGTGAGAATTAGACGAGACGACGAAACAATCTTCCCCGGAGGCACTGAAAATAACAGAAGCGAAGCTGCTTTTCGCAAACGCAAGCGAGAAATCATCAAAAGGGAAATAAAAAAATTAGCCTTTTCTTTCTATCAGAACCAATCAGCAGAACTGTATTTCACGTCCACACATTTGCGACACGGTCGCTTGACAGTAAGCCATCAAAAGCCAAGACTTGAAAAGACTAAAAGAAGCCTTGAAAAATAAAACTTATGCTCTGTGCCGGAATGGAACCTCCAACCTGCACATTAGTAGCACGTCCTCGCATCTATGCCACGATTTCTTGAAAATTTGCTTTAACACTAGCTGCCAATAAAGCAGCCACAGATGCTCTTAAATAAAGCAGCAAAAGTGTTGAGCAAAATGAAAACGTTTATTTCCGAATTGGTTTGGAAAAACGGACAAGAGACTGCGCGCTCACTATAACTCGCGTGTGCAATAAACAAAGCAAAGGAGCTTCTATACACAAAAGTACTGAACAAACACGTCAATCATTCCAGAGGAAAGATCTGATCATTCTAACCGATGAACACCATTTAGACGAACAATTCAAGCGCCGTCTCTCTGAGTCAACTAAAACTACAATATTACAATGCAGTACCTCTTTGATCTCGGTCTCCTTGCCCTTTTTGTACTTCTTCTGGAACTGGTCGAATTTCTTGCGCTCGTTGTTCTGTTGCTGCCTCAACTGCTCTTGCAACTTCCCAACCTTCTTGTCTACCTCTCGGTCCTAAACACATACAAACATTACTAAAGACGACTGAAATGTAGAGAAAGCACTGATTATGGTGGCTATTTTCATACGGAGGCTGTTTTCATATAAATTTTTAACCTAATAGAATATCGAAAACAATACCAAGTTTGTGTTTGATGAGGGTTTCTACAGAAAGCCGAAAGCGATATTAACAAATATGAAATACTGGGGCCAAAAATATCTTTGGCCAAAAATATTTCAGGTATATATTTTTGTATCGCAAGTTATATTTTTGGCCCCAGTATTTCACAGTTGTTAATATCGCTTTCGGCAAAAATATATGCCAGAAAAATAGCACAAAAACTGACTATGATATAGTTAATATTTTTCAAAAAAATTTCACAAATTACAAGAGTAAGTACGATCAAGCCATTATCTTACACTTTGATCCAGAAAATTCACTGTCATTCAAAGTTTTTCAATATATTCGTGTTGTGGTGGAAGTAATTGATTTCAAGAAATTTTGCTGAATGTCTTGTATATGAAAGCCAGTATTAGGGCGAAAATTTTTTTCTGATTTGCCTCTTTTCGCATGTTTCATTCGCCTAGTTTAATTTTGTCCACGCGAATGAAACATGCGAAAACGGAGACAAATCAGAAAACAGTTTACGCTTTAATACTGGCATTCATATACGAAACATTCAGCAAAATTTTCTGAAATCAATTACTTCCACCACAACACGAATAGATTGAAAAAACTTTGAATGACAGTGGCAAACGAAAAAATCGCAAGCAAACTTTGTGTTCTGGTAAAGAAGCCGATAAATACGCGGAAACTTTTCTGTCTGCAAAAAAACGGATCCTGACCAGATTCAAACCCATGACCTTTGTCGATACAAGCATGAACGTTACCTCAACGCTAAAGGCGCAAAATTGAACCACGAAATTGATATCACAAAAATGTCATAATCCGATTTGATTATGCTTGCTAATCAAAAGAGTTATAAATCAATTATAATAACACAGAAGGGAAGCAGAGCTTCGCATTACTTGCGATACAACGCAACCGCAGCATTGCAAGCTAGTGAACAGAAAAATTTTCGCTTTTACAAGCATAAGCGAAAAAAACTGTGGGAAGAGATGAAAATAAATTTAGAAAAAAAACAAGTACTAGTACTACATAAGCTTTTACTATTTACCGAGCAGCACCTAATCCCGACATGTGGGTAGACGCCCATTGAACTGAAAAATCAGAAATTGCTGTCACAGAAAAAATTGAGCAATTAAGTTTTAAAATATTGAAGTCTTCAACGAAAACTACTCGATAATTTTATTCGATAATTTGATGCCTATGAAAATAATTTGATGTCTAAAAAAATTATCGAGAAAATTCGATAATTTTATGCCTATGAAGCGACACAAAGTCAGTCATCTAGGCCGATAGAAATACGCTGAATTAAATTAGGTCGAATGAAATTTTTAAACTAAAACAAAAAACCAAGAAAAATATATAACGAAGGAGAATTAACTTTACAAATTTAAGAGTTAACCAAAAACTCTTGCATTTACGATGAAAATTGCCGACAGTACAAAAAAACTGCCCCGATGTGGCAACTAAGACAAAAAATTACGACAAATGAAAATCCGACAAACGAAAATCCGATAATTCAATTTTTCACGGAAAAACAATTTCAGTTTCATACATACTGAAAAACATAAGGTCCGACTGGGACTTATACCCCAGATATTAGGTTTCAAAAGCATCCGCGTTACCTCTAGGGCAAGTGCTAAAAGATCTCGAAGTTGCAAAGGTTCACTAATAAAGTAGCTTCACAATTTACAGACGTGTAAGAAAAGTTGGTTATGGGAAAAAGTCTAGTTCCCGACTACAAGACACGAAAAGTCTAGTTCCCAACCACGTAAATATTTTGATCTGCATGGGATTAATTCATTTTGACGTTTACGCCTTGTCTATGGGTTAATATGAAACAAACCGCTCGAACAATTAGTCCCGCACTGTGCATTTTTCATGACTTTCTTGAAAAAATCTCAACTTTTGTTTTTTAAAGAAAAAATACATGCCTTTTCAGCTGTTTGAATTTCTAGAACGATTTATGACCTGCGCTTTTTTGATAACATTAACCCAATTTGAGAGAACTGGATCAACCGGTTAAGTTTTTATTCCGCTGGAAATCGAAAAATCAAATTCCACTTTCGAAACTAGAAATCGTTCACTTTTTTGCGCCATTTTCACGTTCGTAATTGGAGAGTGGTATTTATGTGACTTTCAGCAGATAAATTTTAATTGAACTCATAGAAAGATTTATGATCGGCGCTTTTTTGATAAAATTAACCCAATTCGAGAAAACTGGATCAACCAGTTAAAATTTTATTACGCTGGAAATCTTAAAATTAAATTCCACTTTCGAAACTAGAAATCGTTCACGTTTTTTTTCGCGCCATTTCCACGTTCGTATTTGGAGTGCTATTTAAGTCACTTTCAAGAGATGAATTTCAATTGAACTCAAAAAGTGCATATATATACCTAAGTGCATTCATAAATGCATCAACATGCATGAATGCACATCTGTAGTTACTAGAGCATTTTAAGACTTTTTCCTTAAAAAAAACAAAGGCATTTTGAACTCATAGCTATGCATAAACTTATCGTTTATTTTCGCGGGGAGATCGTTCAGTAGGTAATTCTAGAGGTTCAATCGGTCAACTGACTAACCTTTTGCTGCAATCTGCCTCCGTCCATATGTCTGGCTTTTGCCTCCTCTTTCGAAGCTCTCTGTTTCTCCTGGTCGTATTCCTGTTGGATCTTGTTCGTGCAACTCGCCTCTTCCGCCTTACACTTGGCCTCCAATGCCTGAATCTGCTTTTGGTGCTCACGCCGCATCTCTTTGTAGCCTGCAGAGAACATATTATACCATTTAATAACTACCGCAGATTTAACGAACTAAACTTTTCATTGGAAAATTTTCTGCGGAAAAAACTCAATTCTGAACAATCCAATCATTTCTTTATCGTCAAAAACTGCATTCACCAGAGCTGTATGGAACTGCTCAAAATAGAAAACCACTTGTAAATAGCATTAAAAATACTACAGAGTTCTTCAGCAAAAACCTATGGAAAAAAAGCACATTGCAACGCAAAGATTAGAAGAATCACTGATCTTCTTACAACTTAAGCACGTAAAACGCTTTCTATTTCTGACACAGAGGCGAAGCTGAGCTTCGCATCACTTGCGATACAAAACTTATCCATGGCAATAGAATGTGAATTTAGCATCGGAGGAAAATTTATCAAGCGTTAACAAATCCGAAAATAGCGTAGCAGAAACCCTTTAAGTCGAAAAAAAATCAACGAGACATAAGACTTATAAAAAGTTAACAAGCCCTCCTCGCTCTTAACACACAAACAAAAAACTCTTATTGCTCGTCAAACGGGGCCACTAAGCCGATATCATAAAGGCGGAAACCAATTAAGGCGAAAATAGGAGAAAAAAAACGAAAATAAATACAAAAAATGTTAGGTCTAATAAAAGTCCCCTCAACCTCAAAACACAGAGACACACAAAATTTTTTTGCTGGTCGACAGACGCAATATGAAGCCATTAAGCCGATATAATATAGGTCGAAACCAATTAAGGCGAAAAAGGAAAAAAAATGCCGAAAAAACTGTCGTCATGAAAAAATTGAACTAAAATTTCTTCAAAGATTTTAGCCAAATGTGGCATCCAGAGGTGAGCATAAAAACAACGTTTCTCTTGAAACGACTAAAAATTATTTCACTAAGCCAATAAAATATGAGCTGAAATCATTTAGACAGAAGAAAAAAAAGAAACAGAACGAAAATATTCATGAAATTACAAACAGCAGAAGTAAATCAAAACAATAAAAACAACTAAAAAGTAAAAACAAAACAAAAAAAAACAATTATACGAAGTGGCAACTAGGCCTACAAAATAAGCAGACAAGTTTTAAGTCCGCATTTTTTTTAATGGAATATTTCCCGTTTGAGAAAAAAAAACAGGTCCGGGTCAGATTAGAACCCAGGACCTTTACCGAACCAGGCGAATCGTAATCTCCAAGCTAAGTGGGCCGTGAACGCTATGAGTTTGAAGTGGGCTTGTTATGCTCAGAAGGTACCACTAGAGATGAGTCCAGAAGTAAACAAGATATTAGTCCTGTGGACAAACTGTTTACGGGAAAAAAGTCTAGCACCCGATTGCAATACCCTGGCTTATCGCAAGGGTAAAAATCGAAAACATAGCCGACAGAAAATTGTCCATCAACTCAACAACACTGAAACAATGATACTGCAATAGATTTTTTCAACTTCCGAAAAAATTACGCTCACGCTCGTTAGTTTTTAAGAACCTTTTATAGTTGCTTTTTTATACATAAAACCAACCCACTTGAAAAAGAAGTCCCAATAGGCAATTTCTTTTCAATACACTGCAAATCTGAAATTTAGAATCCAAAATCCACTTTAAACACATAGGTGAAGCTAAGCTTCGCACCACTAGCGCTTCAACAATTATGGGACGAGGGCACCATGATGCTAAAAATTTATCAAACAGAACTAAGTTTAAATTGAAGGAAGTCGAAAACGAGAAAAAAAACTTTTTCGTGTTCGAACTTATGGGTAAGGTTGCATTTGGGCATTCAAAAAATTGGTGCCAGAGTCTTATTGATCTCAAAAATAATACCACAAATTTTTAGCGGGGAAAATCGTTAAATAAGCCGACAAAACTGAAGCTAACATCCAATAAGCTGAAAATTTTCTTAAAACATGGGGGAAAATTCATGAAACGCCCGCATACGATAGCTATATAAGTAGCTTCTTCATAGCAACACCATAAAACTAGTTGTTACCAAAAAGTGCATAAAAAATGCATTTTTACCAAAAAGTGCATAAAAAGTATTATACGAAGCCATGACAAAGAAAGCTGCCTAAGGCAAAAAAAATTGATGTGGCAACCAAGCCCACAAAAAACAAGCAGACAAGTAATCAGCCGAAAGCTAGAAAGACAATTTGAAACGGAATTTCCGTTTAAAAAAAGACAGGTCCTGCTTAGATTCGAACCTACCAGTTTGCCATCCCAGGCGTAATCGTTGCCTCCAGATTTAGTGTGCCGGAGCAGGGGCGGATTTAGGATTTTCTCGAGAGGGGGGGGGGGGCGAATTTTCAAAAAATTTTGACGACCTTTTTTTAGGTCGACCAAATTGATTTTTCGAGCTCTCCCAAAGCACTGTTTAGTCCCTATTTTGGCAAAATTTTCAGCGCCGCAAGCAAATTTTTGAAAAAACAGTCAAAAAAGGCGTTTTTAGGCACTTTTTGGGAAAATTTAGACCGAAAATCGCGTTTATTCGGCGCGCGTTCTCCCGCCAAAAATTGATTTCTGAAAAAGTATCAAAGGGCCCCCCCCCCCCTAAATCCGCCCCTGTGCCGGAGACCCTTAGAAATTTGAGTTCATTATGAACCGAGATACCAAAAGATTTAAGTGATTCCGTTGAATAAAATGTTAACTCGAAAAAGTCTACATTCCGATTTGATAACGCTCGCTAATAGCAATTGTAAACAAACAGACATTCTACAAAACAACGAATTTGAAGTTCCAAAGAATCGTCTCAAAAAGAAGGGTAGAAATATCTGGACACCAACAACGAGACTTATAAACACTATAAAGAAGCACACAAATGAAACTGAACTCTTGAAAAAACTCTTATTGAAGCTGTACAAAAAAATTGCGAAGAGATATATTGACGCAGTGGAACCTGATCTAAACTATATTTTATGATTGGATAAATTAAATGTTTTACCAATGTAAAGTATTTAATATTAACCAATCATGATCCATCTAACTAACAACCCACTTATTTGTAAGTGCTGAAGTTACTTGTAATTTCAGCACCAGAGAGATTTGAATTTAACTTAGAAATTAGTTGGACTCTCCCGAGCACTTCAGCAGCCGCAATAAACCAGTATACCCTAGATCTATTGAGCCTAGCAGAGACTAGTTAAACAACCTGAGACTAGATAGTATAAGAGTAAGATTAGGATCGGTATTAGACTAAGAAGTTGCACGAATCTATCCGGCCGAAAATAAGATAGCGTGACGAGCAGACGGTGTACCCTATCCGAAATTACTCTATGAGTTATACACTCCAGTCATAACTCATCTGGTGCGACCATAAGTCTCGAACAAGACCTTACTAGATTAGAATTAACCAAAAATAGATTAGAAATTAGACAAAAACATTTACAAAATGTTATACGACAATAATTTAATTGAAATGTCTCTCCGACTCAATAGATCAGAGCCAATATTCCGAACCATAATAGAACTACCCGGAATTGGAAGAAGACCTCGAACCAAAGACGACATACGACAAAGTAGAAACTTGCCGTATAGTTATATGATAGTTCGGCAAAAGCCAGAACAAACTTTTATATTTCGAATACTACTTGCAATGAATTTAGATTTCCATTTGCAAACATAAAACCTTGAAGTTACTCTTCAAAATCATTTAAGGCGCTAAACAAAATTAATATTATACAATAACGATTGATAAAAAGATCTAAGATCGTTTTCCTAAAACTCTGCAGTAATATACAAAACATGTTTGAAAAATATTTATTGAAAAACAAAATAAAAATTAGTAGCATGACAATAAATGGTTAGTAATCATAAATCATCCTGTTGTTCCAGCTTCATCATCTAAAACATAACAGCAATCATCAACTCACTAACATCATAAAACACTAAATCTTTCCTTTACACACATTTAAAAATTTATCAAAACTTAAATTCACTTAATTTTAAAACCGGATCATCAAGGCTTATCCTTGGATCTTAAATCATTTTCTACTTAATTAAAATCTCAAATTTGATCATCAAGGCTTATCCTTGGATCAAACAGAACAACTTTGTTCTCCCCCACCCACTTAATTAGTGTCTAACGACCTCAAACGTCGATTCACTACCCAACCCTTTCTAAAGACCCAAGACTAATAGAAATTTTTAAACAAAACTAATCATTCAAATTAGGATAAACAGTGAAGAACTTCGGTTATTCATCCTTCACTTGACCCCCCCTCTTACCAGACCCAGGATAAATCTTAGACTTAGTAAGTTTAAAATAGTATCTAACGAACTACTCGCGTTCTAATTATACCTGAACCTTGTGGATCGATTTACTATTCTCCAACCCTTGAACACAATCACTACCCCTAAGTAAGATTAAGTAAGTTAACACCTTAGCTTATACTAGTCACGAGAAAGTAAAAATCATTCTTCGGAATCGATATACTTTTCTCTCCAACCCTGAACAAAAAGACCCAGGTTAAGCTAACCAAAAAATCGTAAGAACTAACAGTTTAAGAAGATAGAAATCATTTAACAACCTTTTGCATCCGTCATCCTAAACCTTATGTCATTTAAAAACCTAGGAAATAAACAAACAATCATTTTACACAATTGTGAAATAGATAACAAAAAATACGACCTTGTAATCACACCTCATACACAAACAGTTGGATACATTCGCACAAAACGACAAACACTAAAGAGGAAAATAATAACTAAACAAAGACAAATAACACGAAAAAGATTTTCAAAAAATCGAAACGCATTTTCAGAATCAGAAACCAACAGTTTAGACGAACTTTACAAACTAAAAGAATCAATAGATAAAAATTACCCACTTCACGATCAATTATATTTTTCTGACTCAGAAACAACTTCAAATTCATCACAAAGAGGAAAAAGAAGAATAAAAAAGCAGTACAAACACAAACCAGTACATCTATACAATTGGAATCAACCAATTCGACACATTAATAATTACATATTAACAGTCATCGAACGAAAAAATGAGCTCAACGCACACTCCAGGTGACGA